TTCCTTTTTGGTTTCTGTGTTCTCTCTTCCAGAGACAGCAAAATATAGAATGTGTATATGCAACATCACTAATAAAGCTGAACTCTTCAACAAAGATGACAGGTGTGAAATTTCTTTCCAGGTTTCTTTCTAGGCTACTTTATGCTAAACAACAATATGCTACCATCTACATAGAAGATGGACTTCACACTTTCCTGCACCTAAAGGAAAAATGTTTTCAGTCAATGACAAAAAGTAACATTTTGAAATATGTATATACATGTATTTGTATTTTGCAAAAACATATGCACACCACACACTATATATCTTGCAAATATATATACACACATTATATACACACACACCCACATACATATTTCTGTAATTATGTGAAAATTTTTACACCAGAATCATCCAAGTTTGGAGAAGAAAGTTAGGAAAAAGCAAGTTGTGAAGCAAGTTTTACTCACTACCCTCTTTACCTCATAATTTAATTAACCACAACCTTTTCTGCTCTAAATATTGATACCTCCTTCTGAGTGGATGTATGACCAGTACACCCTTGGTCCCTTAAGTCATACTCAGATAAATCCAGAGAGAGCTGAGCAAGGGGCTGCAGTAGGTCAAACTTTTGGTTCTGGAGCACAGGAAGGGGCAGGCGGTCCCCTTGGGTAAGGTGATGCTCAAGGCTCTTCTCCATATGAAGCTGTTTGACGACAAAAAAAATATTTAAAGCAGAAAATCCCTGCCCAGAGGCAGGTAGCTGCTGTCTTTTTTTGTCTGGGCTAGAAAGCTCCAGTGTTTGGCCTGACAAAAACTCATGGACTCAGCTGTGATTGCCAGGAGCAGGCTGGTTGAACCCATTGACTTGGACAGTGACAAGGTCTGGACAGACACCCACAATGTCTAAATTGGGTAACCAGAACCTGTTACCTTAAAATAATTTCCTATGACCTACAGTCCTATAATTATCTCCCATTCCACTGTACAACACTGTTCATGTGTTTGGTTTACTTGTTTTCTGCAAGGACAGACCCATTCTCTTTTCTCTTTAAGGAAAAGGCAGACTTGTTCTCCTTAGAGGAAGTCAAGCTTCCTCTAGGCCATACCTTTTCTGTGGGTCTGTGTTGTGACAGGCCCACACATTTGCCTGCATCCAGTTTAAAGGCTTTTCTCTCTCATTGCACCATACCTGTCACAACAGATATTTTGAATCCTTTTCTTTAATTCCAACCTAACAATCTCCACAGTTACAGGAAAAGCTCTTTGCATCTCTTTTTACTAACCCCTTCTGTATCCACATTGTAAGCTCCCCTTTGGTCTTTGGTTTATGACCTCTCCAGACTTTCACTAGTGCTGTTGAAATTTCTTATGCTCTGCTCAGAGCTCCCCAGTTTCATCTTTTCCAAAAAATGAAATAGCAATGCAGCCCATCACTTGGTGAGTAATGTATCTGCTACATCTTGTCAGCTGTGAATGTGGCTTTTGAGGTTAACCAATCAATGTGTCTCCTTCTCCTTCTCCTTGGCCTCCTTCTGAGGACACTTCTACCATGTCAGCCTCCTCACTGAATGCCACCCTGGCTTCTCCCACACTCTTTGGTCTGTCACACCTAATGTATGTGCTCAGCATGCTGCCCTAGTGATCTAAGTAGTGGTATTTTTGTGTCAGATTGACTCGAAAAAAGTGTTGGGAATATGTGAGCACAGCTTCAGGGCAAATCCAGACCAGAGATAATTGTGCCACTGTTACGCTCAGTGCCTGAGATTAGACAAGCTTGCCTGTCACTGCCTCCAGCTGAGTTCTGAAAAAATCCCCATTTCTGCTACTTCCCATGATGAAAGTAGGAGAGAAACACAATTCCCTCAATAAAAACTCCTCAACAACCAGTCCCCCTGTCTTCTTTTCTTTAAATATAGTGGTCTCCCAACCTTTATATTGCTAAATTTGGCAGGAGATGATCTTTGTCCCAGAGAAAACATCTGAATTTACAGCAAATCCTACAGAAGCACAATCTGATCCCAATGAGCCAGTATTTCTTGTGCTGCTTTAAAATGTGGTTTAGATCTTCTAAATATTTTAAATTCATATTATATATACTCTGTATGTTCACATTTAGACAGAGATTCACAAGCTCAGCTATTCTAGAATATTATTCCAATCTGGTTTTTCTCATCACTGTCTGATGCTCTTCTACCAGCTGCATTTCCATTTGACTACTGAAAATAAAGTGTAGCAATTGTGTTACATTGTCCAGTATTTTTAAAATAACAAATAGAATTATTTTAATGTTAAAATTTCTACTGTTATTTCACCTGCAGAAGTGTAATCTTTCTGTAGATTACATGAACCTGAGTTATATTTTTCTGAAAGGCTTCCAGTACCTATAAAGAGACAAATTTTAAAGGTAACACCTTCTACAGGTAGGCTGCAAAACTGCAAAGACAATGAAACCAAGAGTGTGAGGACAAATATGGTACATGATTTCAAAACTTCCCTTCCTATGGAAATTACCTAATGCTGTGAAAGTGGAAGGATATATGCTAAAATCACATCCGTAGCCACTCTACTTTTAGACATCTTTCTTTCCTTCATTTATGATCTCAATTTTATCTGTGCAGATGACAAATTCTTGAAAACTCTTCAAGACACATATCTAAACAAAGAGCAGAAATGTGTTGCCTGATCCTTCTGTGTTTATTGAAGGTCTTCAGCTGTGGATGCCATGGCTGACGGAGGCTTTGCATTCCTTGGTTAATATTTAATTTGTAGCATAGCTGCAGCTCACGTGGGATCCTGGATTCATCAGTCAGAGAAATTTCGCATTAGTCATGAAAAATTTAGTTCAAATAAGCAATACAGGATTGGACCATTATCTATTATTAATCCTTTTTACAAGCTAAAGTAATTATAAAATGAACAGGTTGCAGTCTTACAAAAAACATAGTCCCATATGTTCTCAGAAAGGATAGCTTTTATTTTGTTATTGTCTTTTTGCAGAAAATCATTAAAAAACAGTCAGGAAAAATGCTTCTTAGTTTTGGGCAGGCAAAGTTAGCGTGTGTTTCATTTGCAGCAACATTTCCACTAAAACTCCAAATAGAACCAAGCACATTGGAAGCCTAGATTAACAATGAACTAAAAAGAAACTGTAACCATATTTATTTGACTTATACTATATATGTGTTTAACTCACAATCTGACACATAAATACATACATTATGCAAAAAGACCCACCCTACAAAGAGATAGAAAAAGCTCTATTTCCTTGGCATGCACAATATATGTGTCAGGCAACAACAAATGACAAATGACTGGGATGGTTGGTGACTTCCACCTTTTTTTAACTGTGCTCTACTCATTCACCTGAATCAGTTTAAACCTATTGATTTAAAACTTTTTTATTATTATTAGATTAAGTAAAGTTTGGATGTGTTCCATTACACAGAGCAGCTTTTTTTGCTTATTTGTGTTTGTAGTTTTGGGCTTAATTCCCCTGGGTGCAATTTACACTCAAGTGCTGCATTCAAGAGGCAAAAAGACCTTAAAATGGACATAAATTAGATTTGGCTGAGTACAAGTCTCAATCAATATAGTTTAAACATTTGAATAGTTCCTGAAGTCCTGCTGGCACATCTGGGTTTGCTAAACACATGCTGGGGTAAAGCTGAGAAATCAGCTATAACCTCAGGAGACCAGTGTGCTGAGTTTCCATCTAGAGTCAGTGGAGAGAGTCTCCAAAATTAACCTCCTTGCAGAGTTTGCTTTTGATTTTTAGGAAATGAGTGCTCCTCACTGTTGCCACCCATGCACTCAGCTGCCCAAACACTGGAAGAGCATTCTGTAGCTGTCTACAGAAAAACATATTCACACCAATGCTTAAAAATAAAAGAATGAGTGCTCCTCACAGTTGCCACCCATGCACTCAGCTAGCTGCCCAAACACTGGAAGAGCATTCTGTAGCTGTCTACAGAAAAACATATTCACACCAATGCTTAAAAATAAAAGTTGGCTGTTATTTTAATGTTAAAACTTTGTCTTAGAGCTCTAGACTCCCAAAGGGCATGATACTTCAATCCAGAACATGTTAAAGGAGAATAAATTTTGAAGCACAGATTATAACTACTTCCACAGCAGATTTGCCCACACACTGTAACTACTATCAAATTCATGGTTACAAGATAGATTCTTGTACCATCACTTTGAAATTGCTCATTTACATCTGCTTTTCCTGCTTAGCCAATTCTATTCCATTTCCCAAAAAAACCCAATGAACCATAAGGAATCAGCATTCAGCACACTTTTTTTAAAGAGCACAAAAACCTGTTTCTGATCATTATCAGGAGTGAAGCCCTTTTACCAAAATGGTTAAGTACCTGGAAGAAATAGTCTAGAAAGAATGAATCCTACCACTTAAAACTTGACCAAGTGATTCAGCAAGGCTTCTCTGGCTTCCCACTCCAAGTATGACCATGGCTAACACTATGCCAGGCCAGCTGAGGCTTTATCTAGTGTTGAAAAGATCCAAGGACAGAGATACTAATCATGGTCCCAGTGTTGTTCTTCTATTTCCACACCCTTAACAGAAACTACTTCTGGTGGTTCAGATGTGCTATGTAAAGCTTCTTCATCTCAAGCAAGTTCTGTGTACTGGCATAATTTGAATGAAAACATGGTACATTTACACAAAATTCCATACTTTAAAAGCAACTGCAGATGACTTCACATCTGATAAGGACTAGATGCTTTGACACCTTTTTACATTTGCTCCAACCTCCTCTGGCACTCTGGTTTATGCCAGCATGCAGTGTGGTCTCTGCAAGGCTTCCCCTAGTGCCTGATGGAAATGATTAAAGTCTTTTCACTGCATTCAGTCACTTTTGGGTTTGCATTTGTTTTGCTTCTGAAACTACAGTGTTGACTGTTATTGCTGATCCAAGACCAATAGTCCCAGGTTGCTCATGTAGCCAATCCAACAGCTCTGCTTGTTAAATTTTATTTCTTTTTAAACCTCTCCTTAGGTTGGAAAAGTCCACAAGAATGCTGCCCGCAAAAGAGAATACCACGTCCTGTTCATGGTGATCACTACAGTTATCTGTTACCTGGTGTGCTGGATTCCATACGGGGTTATAGCATTACTTGCAACATTTGGCAAGCCAGGTGCTGTGACTCCAGTTACAAGCATCATACCTTCCATCCTAGCAAAAAGCAGCACGGTTTGCAATCCCATTATCTACATACTCATGAATAAGCAGGTAAGACATACATTATTTTTAAATTATATCTTCTTTAGGGTCCATCGGATATTCTTGACCATTGTGACTACTAGTCTTATAGACGTATCTTTAAGGACATTGAAATCTTGTCCAAACAATACCACTGTTTGCAAACAACAGCATATTGCTAGAAAGGAAGAACAGAAAAATGTTAAAATGTTTGCGTACTGAAATTGCTTGTGTTCTTCTGAGGACACACTGGGTATTAATTTGTATCCTTTAGAGTTAGTTGCCAAAAGTATTTACAAGAAGAATACTCAAACATTTGATTAGGTTGAGGATCAGGGAGGAAAAACAGACAAGGAGACAAAGGGATTTCATGACATTGAAATAAAAATAAAAGAGACCATTTGTAAATACTATTATCATGATAGGTCCCCTTGAAACCAAATATCATTGCAGTTACTGTTTTTGTGGACATCTACATCCTTACTGTTAAATTCACAGTTCAACTACATGCCAAAATAGATTACAAATTTTGTCTTATGAACACCAAAGCATATTCTAAAATGCCTACATCCAGTTCAGGTCTCTCATTCCTGTAAATGCCATTGTCAGTACTCACAAGTGAGCCTCCTAATGTTTCTGTGTTGACAGTTCTGACTCCAAAGTTTGATAATGGCAGATCTGGAAGTTTTAAAAGTGTTTTGCAGTAGGAAATCTGAAAAAATATGCATAGTTCATGAAAACTTTTTTTATTAGATTACATGTTAGAGGTTGTTCTGAGTTTTCTTTCTTCACTGTGTCCATAACATTATTACAAAACAAAGAAACACCCTTTATCTTTTCTTGCTCGGTGTATGCTGGTGCCCACCCTTAGTCTTTATCAACAGCAGCATTATATTATTATGGAGGTGAGACAAGGGAAGAGTTAAAAGTAACAGCCAAATTTTAAAGTAACATTTAAAAGTAACAGCCAAAATTTTGCCACAACCTGAGATCATTCTTGCCACAAATTTACCACAGCCTGAGACCATTCATCTAATCTAAATTTCTTAAACAACAAAGAATCTACTCTTGGAATTTGAAGGGAAAATCTCAAGCAAGCTGTGAAACCTTGAAATCAGAAGGAAAAAGTTCTATTGTCTTCTTCAAGACCAGGGCTTCATTTCCAATGTCTAATTTGAGCTGACATTGAAGCAAATAGAACATTAAATTTGAAAGTGTTAATGCTGAAGTAAACCAGTAACTTTTCCCCCTTACCTTTTATGATTCTTTTGAAAACTTCTCAACAGCAGAATCTGCCTTGCTTCTTTATTCTCTGAACACTTTGACTGAAGTCCTTGGCTGGGAGATAATCTCGTGCTGTGATCTCTGGAGCAGGTTATATAATATTGATAGCGCATACATTTTGGCATTTTCCTTGCACATTGAGATGTAATGAGCCACCCTGAAGGGGAGGAGCTTGATCAGGTTTGGGATAGATACTTTTTACTAATCAAACCAAAATGATAGCTAATGTGCAGCATTAACCTGCAGCTCTCCTCCGCTGTGCCACTGTGTATTAGCAGTGAAAATAATTGGTTTTTACTGACAGCTGAGAAATGTGTTTCACTCAAGAAGGTGAAACCCATCCCTTTGTCTGTTCCTCCTCCGTTCAGAACAGGAACAATAGTAACACCCCCACACTGGTGTTCTTGGCACCTCTGTAGTTGTTCTCACACTTTCTTGTAAATTTAACACCTCAGGAAAAGAAGTTGTTCATCTTCCTGGCACTCATCTACTCTGGTCTTCATGCTTAGCTGAGAATTGTCACGGAAGGCTGGTGCCTCCCAACACAGATATTATCTGGTCTGCATTTTTCACAGTTCTCTGTTTGCAGATATGAGGTACCACAGTAGGGTATTTACTCCTGCCCCTTAAAAATACACAGAACATATGGCAGAATTGTTGGCTCTCTATGTATAAGTCTTTTTGCTCTGGGAAATGCCCTAAAGATTGGAAAATGTGTTGGTTGACTGCAGTTGTGGTGTTAGCTTCCAGCTGTCATAAATCTGTGCAGAGTATTGTGGAACCATGAGCCTCTGAGTCAGCTTTAAAACTCATCCTACAGAGCACATCTTTAAATTAACTCTCAAGCAGTCCCTGAGTCACTTTCATGGTCCTGGAAATCTAGAGAAATAGTTTTGTCTTTGGCATTGCCTTCTGTACTGACCTGAGGTAGTAAATCACTGAGGAAAATAGTGAATTTCTTTCCAGCTGCAGAAACTCCCTCAGATGGGATGGCATGAGGTATGCTGCTGTCCTTCTTCCTGTGCTGTCCTCCAGGAGCAGAGAGATGCACTGTTTAAGCTGGAGTGTTACTGGGCTCATAACATGCCAGGCAGACATCAAGATTCACTGACAAAACTAAAACACTAAACTGCCTGAGACCAAATGAGGCTGGGGTGAAGCTGGAGGAGACAATAGAGGAGATCCCATTTTCCCTGTTCTCTCTTTATGGAAGGCTCTTTTGGCCCTTGGCAATATGACTGTTTGTGCCTGGGGCAGCTTCCCCAAGGGTCAGGTCCAAAAAGGCAGCACACAGCCAAGCAGCTGGGCAAGGCCAGCATACACTTTCAGTGCATCAGTCCTTTATACTTATACAGTTAATGTAGTTGTGCAGATTTTGTTTCATCTTCTCCTCCCTCTCTCAGTGTGTTTTACTCCCATCACACATCCCTGTCAAGTTCCCATTGTTCAAACTTCCACCCATGCAGCCACCCCAAACAGATTTTTAATGACAGCTCTGACTACCTACCTTTCACCATGATGGTGCTGACAGAGAAAGAACCCTGCTCTTTTATATGTAACATGCAAACACGTATTAAGCATTCACTCAGGAGATATGGAGTTTCTCTGTAGCCATGGGTTTGCTGCTGTGGAGATGATCACTGGGAGAATCCTGCTCTTGTGTGTTCCACAGAACAGCATGGGAACCCCAACAATGAAGTGCTTTCTGGCTGCTATAACTGTGCATGAGGACATACTGCACCAAGAAACAGGGATTATTAGATGGATAGCATAATGGTGCAGCAGCTTCAGAGGTTAATCTTGTTTTCACATACCAGAAATTCATTTTTTATTGATGTAGAAGTCAAGATACTAATAATAAGTGTTCAAGAAGGTGTGGTTATGGATGAGATCACAGTGAGATTGAGTGAATCTCTACTCATTTCACAAAATTTGAAGATGGCACTCAGAGAAAATAGAAATTTGCTGCATTGCTACTGACAGCCAAATTTAAGTCGTTTAAACCTGTATCACTTATAGATCTAGAAAACCAATTGTTTGAAAACTACAGATGAATTTTACAAGTCACAATATTTGCTAAACAAACTAGCCTTGCTCCCCTGCAGCTCATGAGCTTCACACTAATTTCTTTCACTTTTTTTGTTGCTCAGATAGTGCACCTAAATCTCCCTGCACTACTGAAACTCGGGCTAGCACATCTAATACTCTGTTGCATATTACAACTGGATAAAATCCCACTCACACCATGTGATCAGTTGTGTGCTATTTCTGGTGTCAGAAAGTGCCTCTGAGCAAAACAAGGAGGGAGAGTGTGAGGAAAAGGTTGTATTAAATGTGAATATAAGTCCCTGATTAGTGATTTGATTTCTAGTGTCTGTCTTCTTGTATTAAAATCATTGCACTTTTAAAAAAATAGGTGACCCAATCATTTTCCCCAAGGATCTTGAGAAGTGATGCTCAAAAGAATATACACACTTACTTGAAAGTCATTAGTACTGTGACCTTTCCAAATTTGTCATGTAATGGAGCATGATGGGTAAGGGAGAAATTAAGGAGAAAGAATGATAAAACTAAGACATCTCTTTTTTTTTTTTTTCCTGAAGAGATTTGAATAATAATGATAATGATGTCCTTAGGGAGTGTTCCTCAATGGGGCCTGAGCCCAACATACATCAGACACCTCCCAGGCACCTCTGCTGTGGCTCTGACAGTCCCCAGGAAGCAATGCCACCCCTTCTTACCTAATGACTGACTTGTTGCTCAGGCCAGAGTCCTCTTCCAGGGCCTTTGTGGAACTTCCGAGCTGCCAGATGAATAACATAGAGTTTTTCTGTCCATAATAATAATCTATTTGTTCTCTGTATATGTAATTTTCTAGCACCCCTTTCCAGTCCTTCTTGATTGTACCTTTTGTACTGAACAGGGAGAAATGCAGAGGAGCTTTGGGAAAGGCACATACACATGATCATGATGAAAAAATAACCTTAACATTCCTCCACTGGCTGTTATAACAACTATATTTTCAGTCGTTTTTCATGGGGTATTTTGCAGTTTTCAGCATTTCCAACAAAAGGTAATGACTAACTTTTAAAGATGGAGGAATATGTATATCAGTTAACAGCGTATTTTCTAAGTTGCTCATTTTCACGTTTAGAAAAATAAGATACTTTAGCTGTGTGAGAACACAGAACTACAGATCCAGAAAGACAGTATGCTATTCAGGGACAATTGTGCCAAATTTCATTTTATACATAAATCGGGACACTTCTGTTAAGTCCTGAAAAGAGTCGTTTTTTGCTTAGTTCAAACCTTTGAGAGGTTTGTGGAGTTACCATAGAATTTATTATATTGTTATAATTTTTCATTAAAATTCACTTAGATTTCAATACTCATAATGTGCTTTTTTTTGTCCTCTTTCACTGGTAGCTAAGCAGTCTTTGAGTAATTAGTAGTCCAAAGAGCATGGCACACCTGAGCTCTTCAGTTGAAAATAGGTCAAGTCAAAATGATCTCTTACTGCAGAATACTCTACTATAGTACAGCTCAGAAATATTTTCACTTCATTTCTCTGCCAACATGTAGTGTTATGACTTTTTAAACCAAAGGGACAAAGAGGAAAAGGTCTCAAGGGCACCTTTGCTGCTGTGATAAGGTATAATTGCATTTCACACAGTAAGTTTTAAATTACTTTATGAATTTCTCTTGTAGCTCATGACAAAAAGATCTGTTCAGGTAAATAACTTGGG